AGTTCCAACTATGTGGATTTGGACTCCTATTAACCCAATATTTAAAGGCAAAACGTATTGAATCTTTTCAGAGACTCAGAAAGAGGCAATCTTAGTCATATCCAACAAATCTACATAAAAACAAAGATGATTAACTAGCAGATTTGACATGTAATCAGAACTTGAAGAGAATCCACTGACTAATTTGCATTTTTTTTTGTCCTCATTTATTCTTCTTTTTAGGGTAAATTATAGACAGCCACCATATAATATAATTGAGGTAGTGACATTTAACTCTGGAATTTTGTATTGTAACAAAAGACCCCCTCAATTTTTGGATTTCAGCATTTTATTCTTGTCATTAGTATTCCATCACTTGACTTCGTGAAATTTACATTTTTAAAACCCTAAACTACCTCTCAACTTCCTTTCATCAAAGTTCATCTTGAGAAAGATTGGTTCATCAATACCTTGAGAATGATTTGTGCTTGAAGATGGTTATTTTTTTCATATCTTTCATTTTACTTTTACTACCGACAACCTCATTATCAAGTCAAGGGGCAAGGTGCTTAGAATACAAAAGCTTAAGGGGTTGTTGCAAAAGCAAAACGAAATTTGAGGGCTAAGTGTTACCAAGTTGGGATCTGCTGCCAACAAAAACTGTCCCACCATGATTTCAATATAATTGGTATTCACACATCTCACCATAAAGCTGAGACCCACTATGCATGAGATGTGCGGATACAGACCCACAAGGGGGCATCCCACAATGTCCCACAGCACATCCTGGCCATGTATTGGAAACATCTTCCAATGATATCTCATCATTTCTGGTACCATCATCGGGAGGTGTTTCCAATACACCGCTAGGATGTGCTATGGGACGTTGTGGGGCACCCCCATATGGGGGGCTGATTTGAATTTGCCAGCAGATATGCAGTGTTACCGCCCTAAGTCCAGTCCAGTGTGACTATTGTAATTTGAGTCCAGATCTCCTACTCACAACACTACCCATACCTACCCACATAAGATCGTAATCATGCATAGGGGATATCTCATACTCTTACATACTATTATGCATGGGGAGATGTTCCCAATACACAAAGGTAATATTTTGTGGATAGGAGATCTGGAGTCCTATAATTTACCCTTTTTTATATGTGTGTTTGTAAGGCCATAAGCCCTAACCCCATTTATTCATTTATCTTTCAGGTTCAATTATGATATGAGAAAGACATAATATCGAAAAAATTTACAACCAATCAACCGATATCATAGAAGAGGTGATATGATAAATCTAATGGTATTCATCAAAATTAACAGGGGTGCTTTGATTGGTCAAAATTGTTATGGTACCATATCTTTCTGGTATCATATCATAGATTTATCTTTCTCTTATTCTGCTTAAAATCTTAAAATTTTAAAACCCGACATAAACCTAGCAAGTAGGGTCTATGCCAGTTTGGTTGGACCGCAATGACGACTGATTCCCAAAATTGGTGATGCAATTTGTTTAGTTCTCCACCCACTTGTTTGAGTCATTTAATGCAAGCCCAGAGATTCCGTGCATTGTCTCCACTCTCCACGTGAAGGAAAATGCCACATTATCTTTTTCTTCCTTCCTGTTCTCTCTCTGCTATTTCTTTTTTGTTTATTTTTTTTCTACAACCATCATCCAAACATATATGAGTTTTATTTTTAACATCTATCTCAATTATGTATATATGAATTTACATGTATCTAATTATATACTGTTAGCAATATTAGAATGCAAAGCACTAAACAAATTATGAACTAAAACCCTAATTCCAAATTGTGCATTTCTGGCCAATTCACTCGTAGTTGAGTTGGGTCAACAATAAGGAGGTTCGGGTTCAAACAATGGATACGTAGGCTCTCATTGTTGTGCCAATGGGCCTCACATGTATTATGTCACCAACCCCTTTTACCCATTAACAAGGTCTAGCGTACAACACCTTACCTCTGCGAAGGCGAAATCTGCATTGGAATGCATTGTTTACACCAGTGTGAACTTGTTTTATAATACCCCCAAACTCGAATAAAGGAGGAGGATTGCATCCGATTAGCAGCTGACACTAAAACTTTTGGCAAAGTCATGAATCATGCTTTGTCTTTATGATGGAATGGAAACAGAGGTTTCATGTAACCGACCCCATATGCTTGGGATAAGCAGTTTGGATCAAGTGGGCATAGTATTGTAAGTACGTTTAGTGAGTACTTGCAAAATTTTTTGACACCTTACCCCCAACTTACTCTTGAAAAAGATTAAAAACAACTTTTGACAGTTATCAGAATATTTATTAAAATGCTCATTAAACGTGCTTCTATGGATAAGGCTTAGATGATATGTGTCTGTGTGCATGTTGTGTGAAATGGGAAAGATAAAGATAGATGAAGCAAATAAAAAAAGAGGAAAAGTTAAAATATATTGTCTCCAAAAAAGTATCAATTCCCTATCCAACAATACAAAGTTTACAATCTGCGCCTTATTTGAGTTTTTTTTTTGAAGAATTGTGAAAATTTATCAATCTTATAAGATTAATTGTTATATTTAATTAGGAATCTACCTAATTTTTAAAATTTGAAGTATTTCTTTTTAATGAGATACTTAAAATCTCATGGTAGAATGGGTCAACCCATGACATAATTTCAACAAAAATTAAAAAAATAATAATAATATAAAACCTGGTGGCCCAGTTAATGGGCCGAATGGGTCAACAGTAGAATCATCTGGGTTGACAGGTTATTGACCGAGTCGCCAGTCCGACCAGCTGGATCAACAACCAGTAGAAACATTGTTTATAATTCTCAAATCTCCAAAAAAAGTCTGGGCATAAATGGGTCTCACCAACCCATTTCCCTTTAATTTGAATTGGGCTCATATTTGGTTTCCATTTTAGCCCATTCAACAGGCACACTCACGTCTGATTCAATGGGGTCAACAGTTTTTTATTGGGCTCGAGTACATGTTAGTGAAGGATCATGATCCATGGGGGTCCATTTACATGGAAATATGATCACTACTCAACATAGACAAAGGGAAATTCTATGAATGGCAATCACCAAGTGGGGCCCACTAAATTCTGATCGATCTGCATACGTCAAACAGACCGTCCCGGGTTCAATTTGATACCAAGAGTGGGCTTGAAAATAGTCCTATAATTGGTAGAATAGTCATACAAGAATGTTTGACTAGGCCCAGCTGATTTATGAACAGGCCCATTATAGCTTAATAGAGACAAGCTCGTGAAAGGTATTGAAAAGGAGAAGCCAACTGATCAATTTGACCGTTGAATATGTAGTTCTTTTTGGAATAATTAGAGGAAAATTTTCTTCTGATTGTACATTCTTGTACTCTTGGATCACTTATTGGGCCCTACACTCTTCATGCAACATGTTGGACCTGCATGCAACGTACTTGGTGGGCTTAGGCTGGCCAATAGTGTTTTGAATGTAGCTGTTGTGCATGTGAAAAGACTGCTTTTTGGACCCATATAATGGGGCCTGATGGTTTACTCGTGGGCCAGTCTTGGGCTCAAGCTTTCCTTCTAAGCCCAACTACGCATTGAGCTCCCCAGTCTGTTACTTGTCAAAAATGGTAGCTAGCAGGATTTAATAAGATCCTTTTTATCATGATTACTTTTGTTGTAGAATGGGACAAAAGCTTTGATTTCAGTTGTTATTAGTGGGAAAGGATTGCTTAAATCAGGCCAGTTCCTTAGCTTGGACTTGATGGCCCATATAATAGATTGGCCCGAAAGTTAGGTTAGTCGAAGCCCAAGACATAGCCAAAGCCTGGAGGAGCACCAAAGGTCCAGGCCTTAACCAAGCCCATTCCTAATATGAAATTCAGACTGGTCCATATCAACAAAGGCAGTGAAAGACTGCTGGCTTAGAATTTTGGCTTGTAATTAGGGAATGTAGACTGGAGCCTTTGCAACACTTTATTTATTTATTCTTTTTCACTTGGAACGTGTACCCATTAGATCCTGTTCATATTCAAAAGCTTCAATAAAATATAATTAGGGCAAAATGAGCATACTATAAAATCACAAGAGTGAAACATGTATAAAATGTTGTAAAAATGAATAAAGAGAACCAGAAGAAAGTAAGTTAAGTTTAATGTATTTAATGAACCTTAACATAAGCTAGGTAAAAAGGGAGAAAATGAAATTTATAAAGTTTTGATTAGAAATGAGTAATCAAGATGGGGAGATTATTTACGGAGAGATACTCCACAAATGAAAGGTTTTAAGAGCAAGACTCAAACACATACAATGTGGGGAAAAAAAGAATCTAATGATCAGGAGATGCCTCAATGAGACCACATCATTACCTTGGCTCGATGGTTAATATTTCATAAGAAAAGAGAGATTGAGGATGTTCTTAATGGAACTATTAAATGAAGATAGACGTTAACATCTGATGCCTTTTATATTAATTCTCGTTATTGTTGAGAGAGATCCATCAAATATCAAGTTTTCTTGCATTTCCTTTTTTTTTTCTATTTTTATACAAAGCCAAAATAAATTTCTTTTCTCCCATTTTTTATTTTTTACATTTATTTAATTAAAACATTTATCCATTTGGTTAGACTTAAATTTGAATCAGAAAGAATATAAATAAAACATTCTCTTTTCTGGTTCACTTATAACATATTCAAGTAATTATGATCATATATTTAGGACTTTATTGGCATAGAGAATTATGATCATATATTTCTGGTAATTGTCCTTTAAAACATTTGAGAATAGCAATTTCTAATATAGGGTGGGAATTCAAATTCATCATCTAAGCCTTGTCATAACTCCCAACTATATTGGATTGGCTATATCAATCCTGTTTCATCATTCCAATTCTGTTCAGTGCCACAAATGTATCAGTGTGAGTTTTATCTCAAGACTCCCGCTTCCAGGCTCAAATAATGGAGGATTATTTTGTCAGGTAAACCTTTGCCAAACAAACTCTTATGAACATGGATCATGAATTGCAGCAAGGAATTGATAAAGAGAGAAGAGTAATTTCTCAACTTTTATTCATGTAGTTTATGGTACAATGACCAATTGCAATTAAAGAATAAAGAACCAGGGGAAGCAGCGGACAAACTACTGACCTTTGAGACGGTGGAAATAGTCCACTTCACTCGAAAGAATTGACCGATCAACAAAATTTACACTAGAAACTACCCAACAGCTCTGCTTTGCCTGTAGGAAAGGCTCCCTGCCAAAGACAAAAAAATACCCTGGCCAAGAACCCAATCTAAGCGTGCCAGCGCCACAATTTTAGGCCTGCACAAAGAATCTGAATCTCCCTTCTAAACTCACCCTGTTAATAGTTATCGCTGCTCCCAGAGTCAATTTTGGCTTTTACGTGTTGTTAGAACCCCATTAGACAAGTGAATTAGCAAGTCAGGCTCTACGAGAATGCAGACCCACTGGATTTCTCATCAGTCTCCTTCAACCAACTACTTGATCCAGCCGGTTCTCCCCCACAAGGATAGGATGGCCCTCTAACTTTCAAACGCTTTGGCCCAATCTCAATAGATTGTGGTTCTCTCATTGTCTGTCCAATATAATCCTCAAAGTCGTTCTTTACGGGTTTCACTCTCACAGCATCTTCCTTGTAAACCATCTTTGAATCTGTCAGCAACGGTCTGAACTTCATAGTGATGGGAGTAATATTTCCTCCAGCAAACCTGTTTTTGGGACCAAGACCTGAAACTTCTTTAGAATTAACACTGGCGCTAGCATGTTGCTCTGTCTTAGTTGTAGAGCTGTCAGATGATGAAGATTGCCCAAATCTTCCTTCAGGTTGGAGTCTCTTCAGCCTTTTAAGCCCCTACAAGAAATAAAAAGGAAAAGGCAATTAATTACAGGTTCAACCAAGAGCCTGACAGAAGAGATCCTGCATTACAGTGCAACCAGAATTTTGGATTGAAAATTGATAGAAAACAGTTGATGCTAAAACAACCAAAGATCGATTCTTACTTATCCTACTTGGATTTCATTATACAGAAAATTAGAAATTCAAACTACCAATGTTCAGATATTCATTGGAATAAAAGAATGGTGGCATTGCATTTGTATTTGCATGTGTGTGCATGTGTATGTATGTTCGTGAGTATATACAGATTTCTGATGAAAATTATTGTAAAATAATAAAGGGTACAATTCAAAGATTTATACTTCATTATGACAAAATTATAGGTGCTACATTTCCCAAGTATGATTGAAGGGCAAGGTCAGACACAGCTCAATAAAAACAGGTAGTAGCTTATATTAAAACTAGAGAGTGGCATGCTTAGTATTGTCCATGCAAGTATACACAAGGGAAACATGGGTCTGTATCTGTGCATAATCATTTTACAGTTAGAAGAGTTTTTCTCTCTCAAGTTTACTTTCAGAATTATGAAAATATCTTCTATCTGTTCTGTCATTAAGCAATGCTGACCAATGGAAAAGTTAAGCAAATATGAGTCAAAACTCAGAAGCAAAAACGAAGGTTGCTTTCTTATACTAGATATGAGAGTATGCCATGCAAAAATGGAATTTCATTTCAATTTCATATAAAAATAAGGGTTACAAATAGTAGTTAAAAAAACAATTAGCAATCCAAACAAGAATTATATCCAAGAAGCACAACTCAATCTACCAAACTTGCCAAATTGACATAATTAAATATCAAACTTCATTATTATTAGGTTGCAATGGGAAAGAATGCATTCGAATTGAATACATCACTAACTGTCAATAGCAGTGCATTTAAGAGGCCCATGATGTTAAAACAAATGAATTCCAGACACATTTAGTATGACTTTTCTTGGAGGAAATAGTAAAATAGACATGTTATAAAATTGAAGAGAAAACCCTTGCTGAGGGAGATTATGGTGAGAATGTTGATTTTTCAGTCCCAAAATTGCAAATTGATTTCCAATTGGAAAAGAAAATATAATCTAAAGGTTTTTAACATGGTTATGGGAATGGACTTGGGATTCAATACACTTCAAATACTGCTGACTAGTCATTTTTTCTGTTTAATGGAATCTTCCTTCTATGTTTAGTTTGCATTGCTGACTTGTCATTTATAATTCACGTCATGATAGGTAAAGAAGATATCCTATTATTGCTTTACACTCTGCTCTTTGGATTATTTGAATGCAATGAACGAATCCTCTAATTGCTTCTGCTATCTAGCACTTTTAGCTTTCAAGTTGGGATTTGCAACACATGAAGGCAAGGTAATGGGCAAGCTGACTTTTCTCCTTGATGGCAGATTTTTGCTTGTTCTTCACCATCTAGAGCACCCATAACTACACTCACCTTCATCTCATGATTTTATCGAAATGAATTTGGACATTTGCAGTTTGGGCAACTGGGATTCAGGGATAGGGGAAGCATTCAGGAATTGTTATGAGCTATTTTGGCACCTTCTCTGGACCAAAAAGGACATAGAAACTCTACAAGGTTTGAATTATTGATCATGTTAGAAGAGCTGGATTATTAGCAGTATTGCAAAGACTAAGATTGGGCTAGATTATTAGCAGTATTGATGTTGATGATGCACCCAAATCCCCCATAGGGGTCGTTGAGTAGTGCAGGACCAAACAACTAGCAATTATATAACTGATCCACCCATCAGTTGGCAGTTTAAAATCAATAAAATGGGAACTCAGAAATATTGACATAATAAGGGAGGTCAAAAACTGGCTAGTGAACTAAGAGAAACATTTTAGACACAGATCTGCCAATAGTATGGTTGGTGCCCTGGCAAGACAATCAGATCTTTTGGGATGCAGTCCACCAATATAACTGATTGTAACACAACAAATGAACATATGGCTCAGTTTGGAAAGAGTACAAATACAAATATGTACAGTACAAATACATACAAAATATATGGTTTTGCACTCTACAAATTTGTATTTGTACTCCTTTCAAATGGAGCCTATAGTACAAACGGGTTGTTGGCATGTAAGCAAAGAAAGGATTCTACGCACATTTATTTTTTGTATAACAAAGCAATAAATTCTTGACTGTTACTAATCAAAAAGCAAAATATTAAGATGGTGCTAGTAAACATAAGATTGGCAAAACAAATGGAGTGGATGAAGATTGTAGCTGAAGGAGATTCTAAGTTGGTGGCGAGCTGGCTTCAAGACAAAAGCAAGGCAATGTTGCATTATTGGAATGAAATAAAAGAAATTAATTGATTAGCAAAGGATTCATTGATATCTTATAGATGGGTGAAAAGATCAGCAAATGGCTTAGCCAATGGGTTGGTCAAACAAGGGGTGAGCAGAAAGTATGTTCTGGGCTATGTTGTAATTAATGGGCCAAGGAAGGCTGGGTTTTAGTTGAGAGTTAAGCTCTTGTTCATGGGGTCAGGTGATTGATCAGCCTAACATTCTGTTGCATATTAGCATATATATTAATTCTTCTAACAAAACTTTCTGTTATTCGATAGAGAAAAAACATTTGTGCTAGTAAACATAAAAATACATATTTCCCCATTTCTAGTTTAAGGTTATGTCCACAGCTACATAAGCCCAACTTAATCACTAGGGATAAATGGCTAAAAATTGCATTGGTAGGAAATATTGCAATCTAAATGCACAACATGTGCAGACACGTGTTGGAGTCCAACACTTCACTGATTCTTGAGGATACTTCTACATAGCATTTCCTTTTTTATCTCCTAAGCTTATTTGACATAAATGAACAACTAAACTTTCTAATCATGCAGAATCACTCTTGTACACACCCTGGGTTCCCATCGTTAACAGGTCACATAGAACAGTTAAGGAAAATAGCTATTCCATCTATTACATAGTTAAAAAGTCCTACATACCTACTTTACATGCCAAGATCAATACAGTAATCATTCTTTTTTGTTTATTTTTTTGAAGATAATAATGCAGTAACCATTCTTGAATGCTAAAACTAATTCATATGATAGCACACAGTAATGTTGTAACTTGAGCTAGGCAGGGTTAGAACTCCAAGTCTCCAACATTGAAAACCCTATTAAAGAATAAATTCATAAAACGATGCCAAATGAATAACATGTCTGACAGCTGATGAAACTTTCAACTGCCAGTTTGGTAGATAAAAGAAAACTTAATGGCACATTCTTGCACATACAAACATGCTGACTGTGGACATTCCAAAATCATGTGAAAACTAAGCTATAAATCCATTAAACCTTGATTCATAACATCAATACAATTCCAGAAGCTACAACAGAACCAAAACTAGCCAACATTGACTTCATAAGTCCATCTTTTGGGAAAAGAAAAGAGACAATGAACCAAAACTAGCCAACTAAAATACAACTTGCTGATACATCCTTATTGCTGTACTCCTCAACGGTGTGAAGCCTAAAAACAATACTAAATCTCCATCTACATCTCCTAAATGGAATATTAACCAGTCACATTTAGCCTACACTTCAAAGATCTGATTAAACCTCCATTATCTAATTTATTTAATGAAGCCATATTAAGACCTTAAAAATATAAAACCAATCTCCAATTTGGAACAATGATAGTCAGATCTTAAAATTTTTAATTTAAATAATGCCCACAAAAGAGGTTTATTTGGACAGGTGGCAAGGGAAGTTTAGCTGAAACTTGCCCAATGAATGTAGGAAAGTGAATGGAGCACATGGGGTGTTTGGGGCACCAACCTATCAGTGAGTTCAGTAGTTACTTCAAAGAAGATGATGGTGCTGCTGCATGGGTGATGCAATGACTTTTATATTTCAAACTAATGCTACTATCAACTCAGTCAAATTCTTTCCAGACTAAAGATATGATTTATAAAATAAGGAAAATGGAATGATATTCATGACAGCATGAGGTAATAAATAACACAAGATATAAATCATATTTCAGAAAATAGAAATTTTAAAAGGTGTGAATTTTAGGTAAATTATGCACCCAAGAGGTGAAATATTAAGCAGAACACAAATTAAGAAAGTCATCAGGTGAATATATAGTTTTCAGCATTGAATAGAACCAGAAGATGTTGGCTAATGCAAGACTGTCACAGTTGAACCAAGAAAATTGATGAAAAGAAACAACAAACGGGGATTAACGGACACAACAAGAACCAGTGTCATCCTTATGATTTAAATGAGTAACTAGCTACAAGCAGGTCCACAAAATAAGCCATCAGAAAACCTAGACCTCATTAATTTACCTGCTGTTCAGAAAACTTTGAGGTCATTACATTGTTTACAGTTCTTTTCTTTACTTTCACTGATGATCTACGTTTAACCCTGAATATTTCTGAATCAGAATCATCACTGTATTGATCCCTGACAATTAGTGGATCATGTATGCTGCCCGATATTTCTTCCAAACCCTTAGAAGAAACAAAATTTGTACTATTGGAATTCACATGCTCCTGTAGAATAGAACATTAAAAACAAAAAACCACTGTGCTTCAGTTAAACCCAGAGTTAAAATAAAATTTTGTTCTACTAAGTGCATAAGAACTAAGGAAGCTAAGGAAAATTAAAGAACAATCAAAATCCTAAAACAAAATAGCCTAGTTTCATTTAAATAAAGAGAAATTCTTAGCACAGTCCCGAGAGCAAAAATACAGAACAAGAATGGATTGGAAACCCCCAGAAGGTAACAAAGTCAAGTTGAATTTTGATGGGTGTTACCTTGGAAACCTGGGCATGGCAGGTATAGGAGGGGTAATCAGAAATTCTGAGGAGGATCTTGGCTACATTTTCGGGACCAGTTGGTTTGGGAAACTCTTTAAGGCTGAACTATTGGCTCTGCTGAAAGGTCTCCGTTTAGCAAAACAGCTGGGTCTCAGAAGGATTGAAGTGGAAGGGGATTCAAAAGTAGTCATCTCATGTACTAAGTGTAGTACATGGACTTTTTGAACTCTTTAACATGTGACAAGGGAAGTGGAAAGGATTGCCAAGGACAAAGAGGCTGAATTTAAATGTGTTAGGAGTGCAGATGGATTAGCCGACTCACTTGCTAAACAAGGGGTTTTGAGGCAACAATTATTCTGGGCTGCTATGTAATTTGGATTTAAAAGTTAGAAATGATATTTCTGTCATCATGTTGTACTGATCACTTTTAATTAAATCTAATAAAATGAAATATTTTCTTCTGATCAAAAAAGAAAATCTTACATTGTTGAGAAAAGCAGGGCTTTGGTGTTCTGAATCAAGAAAAGAACATAAAGTTGAGGCAGCAGAAGAAAGAGAAGCATCTGGAACATCAATATTGGTAAATTCTTTCGCCTCCATTTCGAATTTCATCTCACAATATGGAACATATCCATCATCCTCAATGCAAGAGAGCAAGCTATACTGGGGATAAAAGTCACTCCCATATTTAATTTGCTTTTGAGCCTCCTCTAGTATTCCTTCTTCCTGCTCAAAGGCCTGGGCTACAGCTTCCATTAACAAAATATCCTCTCTTACAGAAAGAATGCAACTGCTCCCACATGGGAAACTGAGTGATGTGATGTCTGAGTTACACAATCAGCAGAAACATAAATAGTATCAATTGAATTCATTTAATAAATCCAAGCAGAAAAAGGCAATGTTCAGAGTGTGTGAGTAGTTCTTACCATGGCGAAGGCAAACAGGATGTGAACTACAGTTGCAATCAATATATGCCACATAGCAGCCACGTTTGCAAAGGCTACAGAGGATGGTTCCCTGAGAATTATTAGAAAGACCCACACATGCTTTTGATTTCATTAATGACCAGCGTATGCGGTGCAGGGATCTCATTAGGTTCACAAAAGACACTTTTATGGAACGATGAGAAACCAAATCTGCCGAAGAATAAGATGGCTCTTTGATTTGAAGCACCAATGATGAACTCTTCATAAGAAGCATAGCCTCCTTACATAGAAGTTCCTCATGAGGAAGGAGGGGCACCCTGCCAAGAAGTGCATAACGTCGGCTAGCGACTGCCCCTAATGAGAACCAATCACTAATTGCAAAATTCACCGCCTCACCACAGTTAAAACCTAAAGTAGCATAAATAGAAAAGACAACTTAGTGAACCTCAAAAAGGGACAAAAACTTATGTTACAAAAGAAAAGGAGCCAAAAGGAATTAGAGCATTTTACCATGACTAAATCCTGCATGATATGCTCTAGGGAAGGTGATAACAAACTCCCCAGGCTTCTGTACAGCCTTGTAAACAGGAACATCATGTTCTAACAGAACATTTGGAGGAAACATAGTTGTTTTTCCCAAAAGAACATCAAATGCTCCATCCTCTCCATCAACAGATAGAGTATCACGAGTGTATACGCACTCCCTAACAACCTTTTCAAAATCCAAAGCCGCATGGCCTGGAATACCATACCAAGTTTTTGATGCTCCACAGTGATGATAATTAATGCTGCCATGTTTGAAGTTAAAGGAGATAAAAAAAATAAGCATAAGAACAAAATTAGGGAGAAACTGCAACGCAAGAGCATCAACATATACCTATACAAGTAATGGTCTTCAACATGCCATGCAAACATACTGAATAGCATTCCAATGTAAAGCATTGGATCAGTTACTCCCTGAAATGAATTTATTGATGTCAAATGGACACAAAGCATGGGGAGTTTAAAATACGAAAGATACTGTCAAATATAGAAAATTAAAATATTTATCCTAGTACCGGAATCGCAGTTCCCATAAGACGCAATACAGACTTGGGCAGCCGAGAAAGTGTCTGACATTTTGGCAACAGACAAAAACAAATGGGTTAGAAAACCAGACATTAGATGCCACAAAAAACGTTTGTTTACATGAAAAATATTACTCAATGTGGTGACATTCTGTAAAGCATGTCAATCAAGAAGCAGAATACTTTAGCTAGAACTTAACAGGGAAAATTTTCCACACAGTTGTATATCATCACAAACTCAAAAACAGATCCATGTAGGAAGAAGGAAAGAAAGGACTTTGAAAGGAAGATACTAGGAAATAACAGTTGAGTTTGAGAAGTTTGAGTCAGTATCTATTACATGTGCTGATTAGAATGTTTTACTGTGACATCTCATTTGACAAATAATATGACAAACTGCAGTATACAAGTACAAGAAAGGATGGTATGAGGACCAATTATTTTGCAAAGTTAGTAGGAACTAAGATGAAGACAACAAGCTTTTATTGCATAACTTAAGAATATTAAGTAAAGAGGAAGTTGGAAATACAATTTAATAATGCCATTACACCACCACGACAATTCTCCATCCGATATCAATTCTTTAAATATATTTTATGTTAAAAAAAAAGATTAAAATCCCTAGACAAAAAAGCATGAGATTTACAAAGGGGGAAAAGTCAAAGAATCAACACCTTCAGGTTCCATTTGCTTTTTGCAAGCTCATCATTAGGAGAAGATGAAAAAGCACTACCATCAATATCGCATGCATACTCAACAGTTTCTGTCTTCCCACAAGCTATTTCATGCCAAAATTCCTTTTCCAGATATGAAGAAGGAAGGCATCCACCACTATAATATCTACGAGCAAACACCTTGTTTGCCATTTTCTCGAATTCACGGAATGTATAATTTCTGAAAAAATCATATTGATGTTCAAATACTGTAAAAATTAATCAAGAAAAAGTCATTACTCTTTGTTTTATGCATCAACTTACCTCCCACTCATTAGAAAAGTGATCTTGTCATCTGCATCCCACTCAGCAAACCGAAGAGGTTGCACTCTAGTTTTGAACTTGAAACCAGCTTTCTCCTTCATCAATACAACACCCGCAGGAACAGAAGCATTCAAAGGGGAAATAATCTTGCATATGCCTAAGTTTTACAGCAATAATTTAGTTTTTGGGTAAAGCAAAGTACTTAGCATTGAGTAAAGTAGATCATTGAAGACAGCCAAACAACCAGAATTTGATTTATCTTTAATTATTTTCACAATTGAGTATCGAGACTGGAGAAGAAAATCAATACAGTACCATAAGATATTACATCAATAAAGCAATAGTTGAAGTCAAATTTGCAAGATGGAAGTAATAGATGTCCTAGTAAGTTAAATTTGAGTTCATTTACTTCATTAAATTTCGAACTCTTATTACAAAAGGATACTTAAGAGGTTTGACTGTTCTAATTAGAGGTTGGTCAGTAAATGAATAAAGCCTTTCTTTCTGGCTGTGGTGTTGATACCACTTTGACTTTTATTTTCTTTTCTTTATAAGTTACACTCTTCTTCAGGAAAAGGTTGACCTTACCATCAGTGAATTTAATCCATGTCATACCCAGCCCTAAGAAGCATGTATTTCCAACTTCTAACTAATTCTGTTGAGTATCAGCTCAAACAAGCAGATAGTTATGTACTTTTTCTCAGTAGATATTATATAAGGAAATCATTAAAAGTATTGAAGATTGCCTAAAATGAACGAGATTATAAATACCCAAGAGACTACATTTTCAAAACTATGTTTCAAAGTGCTAATAATTTGGTCCAAAAAACAGTAATATCATTACACCCACTTCAGCTCTGTTGAACAATTGGAAGGAAGTCACTTGTTCAGCCCCTAACAAGGTTGTTCTTCACCCAGTGTGGACTCTTCCAGTCCCCGGCTTTATAAAGTTGAATTTTGATGGTAGCAGTGAAGGTAACCCCAGCCCCTCAGGCATTGGAGGGGTCTTTAGGAATGAGGTGGGTGTTGTTGCCATGTTCTCAGGCCCAATTGGGGAAGGAGACTCCCTCTGAGCTGAAGTCCTAGCAATCTTGGAAGGTGCCAAAAAAAGGCCAAGGAGCTTAACTGATTCGAAGTTGGTAATAGACTGGTTGCAAAAGGAGGAGAGCAGCATGTGGAGCCACCTGAAATGAAAAAAGAGTATTTAAATGGCTAACTTGGGATATGACAGTGAGGGTACATGGGTTAAGAGATGTGCCAATTCCTTTGCAGATGCACTAGCCAAACAAGGGGTGGGAAAAAATAATTTGTTCTGAGCTTGTTTGTAATCTCTTAATTTTGGGGAAGTTAAGAGAGTTTATCTCCCCTGCTTCTGTACCTATCTCTTATTTCTCATTAATGAATTGTTTCTGTTATTGATAAAAAAAAAATTACATAGGTAAGAAAGTTTACTACAAGGAGATCAAAAAATTAACGTTGGTGGAAAGAAATTATGAAGATCCATAAACTAGCAGGCATTTACAATTTGTAAGGTATCCAACAAGTGTCTTCTACGGGGAACGCCTGGACTGGGATTGCATGTGTGATGTGTTCATCTAAATATAATGTTGCTGACAAGGACTGCCTTGTACTTTTTCCTTTCTATCCTACAAATGGGTAGGAGGGAGTTTTTTTCATGAATGAATACAAGTTATTGTTATTGATCAGAGAAAAGGAAAAAACAAAAAACAAAAGGAAGCAGAAGATAAAAACTTCTTCCTACATGAAAACATAAATGTAATTGATACTAAGTACTAACATAACCATTGATTGAAGCCTGAAAATTGCTAATGAAATGCAATTAGCTATATCAAACTCATGAGTGAAAGAAACAAAGATATAAAACATGAAAAACAAATGTCAAGCACAGAAATATTGAAAAACCATGAATGTGATAATATCAAGCCAATAACTACAAAGTTGAGCTAAATACATTGCAATTCCTTCACAAGTATATCTCCAGTTAATATAACAGATGTAATAGTTGAAAAAAGATACCATATTTTGAAGCTTCAGGAGCAATCTTGTGCAGATAAATCAAAGGATCCTCAAACTCCTCTTTTGTTGGACAATATACAGGGCATTCTGGAATTTTGTCAGTCCATTCCAGATTGGTTGAGTTAAATTTATTCACTTTGCATTTTGATGCATTACCAGGTCGAGAAAATGCATCTGGGTTGCCATGCAATCTCACCGCACATGATGCAGATGCTCTTAAAGCATCTCCTCCACTTCTAGTCATCATATTAGTAACATTTGCAACTTCAGGAGCATTTCCTGAATTTAGCTGTTGGAGCCTTTTACGCTTCAGAATTTCTAACCCATTTTTTGCCTCTCTGGACAATCGAACTCTTCCTTCCACCTGTCAAACAACCAAATCAAGAATAAAAGGAACCCTTAGGTTATGCAGCAAGGCAATCTCAATTGGCATGACTGCATACTCAAAACCCTGACCATGGTACATGATTTCAAAGATCCATTCAATTTTTTCAGATCCAAATGCAGTTTTCATTTGACCAAAATAGTCCATTTGATTTAGGTAGAACTAGAACTCCAGCCCTCATTATCCTAAAACAAGTAGAGTATCAAAGCATGATACAGACAGCCCTTCTTGTTGCACAAAACACAAAAGAGTATCAAAACATGATACCTAAGGATGTTAGGGAAAAAAGCTGCTCATCTTCTAATATGGAAACTAAGATTATAAGGAACACCAGCAACTGATGTGTGCACAAATGTCAACCATGTATAGCTATCTAATTACAAGTTTCATTGCTATACCTGACATGATATCTTCTTTTTCTTCTGAAAATTAGAAGGAAAAAATATAATGCTCTCCTAATAAACTGCTTTATATGTTTGCTCCATGGAAAAAGGAATTTTGTCGTTTTAAGCACAGCATATAAAGTCAAATTCACAGACTACTTAGTATATTTTGCTTGTTACCTACAACGAACTTTATGCTTCCTCTAGGGCCATTTACATTTCTTGAATTTTGATTACATTAGATGTAAAGATTTTGCTTCATCCATGTTGAAGAAGCAAAAAGGAAACTGCTAAAATCTAACATAGAACTGCAAACAGTTCTAGGAAGACATGCACCAGCTCAGAACAAGGAATAGTACTTCTTGAATGAAAGAATTTGTTGGGCAGATAAGATAAGAATGAAAGAATACTGGATTCCATTATTGCAAATTGATGACAATTTGCACTGACGTGGTAAGATAAGATATGCTACAATGTGTCAAAACCATGCACCAAGTCTCTTATTTTCTTGTTCTTCCTTGAAAAGATATAAAACCTAAAATATATGCTCAAACAACCACCCCAACTTCCTTCAATAAGCCAAAAGCATCCATCCAATCTGTTTAAAACTTTAAATGCATATTTGGATGAATCAGATTTTTTTATTGATGTGACTCATCGGAAATTTGCTAAGGGGGAAAGGGAAATGAATAACCATATGAAAAGAAAAGAAAAGAACAATCCAGGATCCACATTCCCGATCCATCACCATGGTGAAATCCATTTATGAATGGTTTTCCAACATTTCATCAAATACAAAGCTAGAAAAAGATTTGAAACGACAAGTCCATATAGAAACAAGGATTGAGAAGCAGATGCATCTTCAAAGGCTTTGGTCCTATAATACGAGCCAGAATGCTTATAGAGCACCCGCACTGAGGTAATAAAAAATGCAACTGTTTATGCAGAAAAGAGACTCCATGACCTGCTCCTCCAACTGATGCCATAAACTGCAATGGATATGCATTAGTCGACAGTTAAGCATATATTTGCACCCTCTGTGTAATACTTATTTACGGGCTAACTGTTGACCAGTAAGTTCTCAAATAAAACAGTGAAAGCCATCCTTATTATAATTCAAATAATAGAAACTGCACAATTTCGTGATACATTGGTGAAATTGAAGCGGATACTGATATCATCACCAAGCACAAGGCTGACTTCCCAAATTTAATAAATTCTCGTTAGAAAACTTGCTTGGGGAAGCCAGAACAAAAGGCATCAGGAAGCAGAATACCCACAACTAAGAAAACACTAAATAAACAAACGAAAGAAGGAAATCATGAAGGAATTTTTAACAGCATTGATCCGTCAAATAGAAAGAAAAGTTATCCGTGAGAATTCAAACTTCCACCAGATCAAACATGCAAAAGTTGCAGAGAAGAAAACGTCTGTAACTACCGAAAACCACAAATTTATTACTGAAACTAGACAAATTTCTTAGATCGAAGCTTACAGAAAATAAGATAAAATGTTCAAAAAAACCATAATAGTTTGAAATAGAATTGCATCCACAAGTAAACGGCAAAGACCCACAAACAAATACAGAAGAACAAAATTTAAACCACTTACCATCTCATACCGAACGTCTTCTCTTGACCTCTCCGTCGTGTCTTCCCTCGCCACCAAACCAAACCAAGAAAGCAAAAACCACGAAATCAGCCCTAAAACACGATTTCCTCCATGAAAGGCGAAGCTGACACCCTCTTCAACGAACCAACAGGCCACATTCCGCAAAATGATAAACTAACTGCTTCAGAGACCGAGATCCGACGCTTTTATCTACATCAACAATGAATCTACAGAAAAATTCAGCAGTTCCTTCAAAAGCAAGGAACGGAATGGGCAAGAAAGAGCAATTTCTCGCCGTCTAATTGTGGTTTTCCGGCGGGAAAAGGAGGTTTTCCGGTGGAAGGAAGAGGAAGAGCACAGTCGCAGGAAGTCCGAAACCGAGGCTTAGAAAACCGAAAAAAAGAATTGAATTGATTGCTTACAGATTTATACGAAGACAAAAGTCATTAATTTAAAACTAAATTAACTCCTGTAATTAAGTTTATTAAATTAATTTAATCAATCAATCAATTAAAGAAGTGGACTGAAGAGAGAATAGTGGCGGACGGCGGTTGTTACTTCTTCGCTTGTTAGGTGGTTCAACCAAATGCTACCTCCGGTCGGCCAAAACGCGGTTCTCGCTCTCACGTTTCGGAAACATTCATTTCTCATCACCACTCACCAGAATACCCTCCAACTCCGAGTAACCGAAATTGTGAGTTCTTGTGGCGGGAAAGGTAGTTTTGTCATTTCACACGTGCATCACGATGCCTGACTTAATCATAAATCCACCGCCCATTTGTCGTAAACGTGAGAAAAGATCAGATGAGAAACTGATAATGTTGTTGGACGGCTAGACTGAGATATAGGGTTGCGATCAGAATAGGTGAAGGTGCATGCGATCAGAATGTAGGCACTAGGCACTGGTTCGGTAGGTTGAGGAAGTTCCATTACGGGAGCGAAACGTGTCAAGATCAGTGGGAAACTTATATGACACGTGGAAGAATGAAAGGACGTGTACAAGACACGTGGCAGTACGACAGTGCTTTTACTGTGCGCGGGAAGTGGGAAAAACTGCCAGAACGGAATTAGCTGGCGGTTAGAGCAGGTTTCACGCCTTACGACCGGCCAGCTTTCCGCTAAAAAAAATAAATGAGCAAGCATCAGACTGGACCATCTTGCGGACCGGACAAGTTTCCAGTTTAGTATGAACGGTTACCAACGTTGGCGGTTTCACGGCCCAGGTGGCGGTTTTTTTCGCGCTCTTTCTATTTGTGTTTGTTTGCTTGCTTTCGTTACGCGGTGGTTGGTCTAATGATTAATTGGGTTTTCTTCGGTCAGCGAAAGCGAGGAGAGGGAGAGGAGACCGCCTTACCGCTTTGAAGGGATTTTGGTCTTTGTCGGCTCGGCGGCCAATGAGTCAAATTCTTTTATCGGCTTGGCGGCTCGGGCCGTCTTCAACTCGGCTCGCTGAAGTTTCCTCCTTTCGTAACCCTGCGCTGAAACAACGAAATCAAGGCCTTTGATATCTTGCGGCCCCACCTCGAATTTGATGCAGTGACGTTTTGATGGAGCCAGTACAATACATCAAGGGCCTTGATTTTCGGTCCATGGGCTACGATACTGTCGTAGCAAAATGAACTCGCGAGGCTTGTCGGATTATCCGATAGGAAGAATTTTAACTGCATCGGGTTCGGATTAGGTTTTGGGCCCCTATGAAGAACTTAATTCAAGATGGAAATTACAAAATTACCTTTATCCCTTTGTTCATTATCGCGAGTATCATGAATCTAAGTAGTGTGATCTATCTAAAGACTAAAGTTATAAACAAAGTGAGCACTGGATCCCATTGATCAAGGGTTAGATTTGATTAGGGTTTTGATCCAATGATGGGGGATGCTTTGCATAACGAATTTCTTGAACAAAACATTTTATTCTTGAAAGTAAAAGAAGCACGAACTTTCCTACGCTGAAATTTTACTGCAGCCTATTTAATTGTCAATGGTACACGTGGTGCACATGGTGGTCCATATGTACATGCAATACATTATGAACTTAGGCTGTGTTTGGATAGGCTTTTTCAAAAGCAATTTTAAGCTCTTCAAAGCATGTTTATTTCAAACGCACATTTTTTTCTTCAAACCCATAGTAATTTTATTGCGACAGGAGGCAAAAGTTAATAAACATGTATAAAGTGACCAAAACATAAGTGAAGTTGAAATGGGTATTATGGGAATTTTCAAGAGATAGGGTTGCCACCCCTTGCCTCCGCCCTCGCAATAGATCATCATTCATAACTAATAGAAAATTGGGAAAATTCCCGATTAGTATCCTGTAGTTTGGGCCTAGTGCCACTTTGGTCCTCAAACTTTAAAATGCAATAATTTAGTATCCGAATTTTCAAAACATGATAATCTCGTCAAGTGGCATTTGAAAAAGACACAAATGTCCTTTGTCATCTAATTTTCTTTATCAACCATTTAAATATTGACAAAAAATTATCAGTCTCAAATCCTTGCCTCTTCTATTCAATAAAGTTGGGGTCACCAGAATGCCCACTCAAACGTGACCCAACTTTATTGAATGAAAAAAGCAAAGATTTGGGACTGTTAATTTTTTTGTCAACATTTAGATGGTTGATAAAGAAAATTAAGTAACACTTGAAGGGCATTTGTGTCTTTTTCAAATGCCACTTTACAACCGGTTAACAACTAATTAAAAATAAGTACGGGATTGCTACGTTTTAAAAGTTTATTTACTGAATTATTGCACTAGGCCCAAAATACATGATACTAATTGGGAATTTTCCCTAAAAAATTTAGATTTGAAGTTGTAGACCAAGTATACGATATATAAAAAGTATATGCATGCTTAACAATATTATGAGCAACGCAACTACCCATTCGATGAACGAAGGAGATAATAGGTCGATCAAAATCGCACAAAAGATTGCTGCAATTGGCTATAATATAATGAATGCACAAGGGACTATCAATGAAGGGTCTAAATAGGAGGTGAACTATCTTAATATCTTTTGTGCGTCTCCTTCAAAATAAACAAAGCAGTCTTTTGTTTCAAAGGCACCTTATGTATGTATACACATACTCTAATTGTTCGTCTATTCTTGTATTTAGGTTCGATTATGACAGCCAAGATCCTTTGATACCATTTTCTAATATGACATAGGAGATGAAGGCGCATATGCTGATCATCTCTTTAACAAACAAAAAGGGTTGAGAACACATGTATCAACGATTTATTTGTATTTTAATTTTAAAAAACAAAATCATATACATTCACAAATACCAAGCAAATATATATATATATATATATATATATATATATATATATATATTGTTGGATTCTCATGCCCTCAAAGGTTGGAACCTGTGGCTTTATAATTTGAGACTCAATTGGTGAATACAAAAGGGGTTCTTGATTAAATTAATCAAAAAAAATTTTGCAGAGAAAGTAATCATGAATATATATATATATAAATAAATTAAATAAGATCTCATTGATACTCAAGAGAAAATAATGATGTATAAAGATTGAAATTCCTATGAAATATTAGCCACGTGGCAAGTTGAGCATAGGAAATGATTGCCCATTTTCAATCCCGAGTCCCAACAAAGCTCACACTAACGCACAAAAAATGCAAGTTGGCAAGCAAAAAGCCAACCAACAATCATAATGTGTCCTATGGTCTCTAGGTACTATTAGCTTGCCGTCTCCACAAGATTTGGCTCTCAGCTCTCTTATCTCTCTCTCTCTTCGGGAAGCCATGATAATGGCTGTTTGTAACCGTCGTCATAACGGTAACGGTCATTTGGCGTACTTGATGGGCCTGAGATGGAGGGATGCTTCTAAGCAGAGGTCCAAGTAGAAGGGATCCAATGGGTGAGGGACAGCTAATTGGACTATGACCCTAAGCCGTTCCAGTTCCAAAGGGTTATAGCAGTTATTGAGAAGAAGGGCCCAGAGGCCAGAACAATCCAAGGCGTTGACAAAAGTGACCTAAAAGTCTAGCCCGTGACCCTCCCACTGCTACTCGTGTGCCCCAGACGGACACCTCTCCCAAAAAGGAACATTGGCTGTATGCCCTAAAGCCCAAAGGACACGAGCCAACATTTGAAGATAACCAAGGACATCTAATTATGTCCCATCCCAACATCTACTGACATCTAATCAATATATTTATTATATTATTTTTATTAAATATAATTGCCAAATCATTTCTCTCCCATTGCTGTCAGACTTGAACCGGGTCCATGTGATTGAACCGGTAATAAATATGTGGGTACTTGATACCTCTCTCTCTCTCTTGTTGGGTAGTTGATTCTTTAAGGAAAGCTTTTTGCACTCCTTTATCATAACCATCTCACCTACTGATGTTGTACTATTATATAAACAATACCAAGTAACAACATGACCCTAACAACACTAGAATATTATAAATAAAGTGCATATTCATGGAGTGTGTTTGGAACCAGGTAGCTCATTGGATAAAAGAAGCAAAAAATTCCATGGTTTAACTAATCCAGTTGCCCCACTTATAGATAACCTGCATAGAACCACTTAACCTAATTTAGTCATCTATCCATAAGAAACCCCTAATTTAATCATCTGATTTCTAGGAAGAGTTGTTCATCCAAATTTAGGAACCTTTTTTTTATTTAGGGTATGGAGAGTCTTAATCAAGACTGTTATTGTTAGGGCAAGTTAACATCAATCTGATTTTTTTTTTTTTTCTTTTGGGCATCATAATAAACTTAAGGCTATGTTTGGTTCGATAAAAATAACAACCAAATAGAAAATAGAGAAAGAATTCTTAACAAAAAATGTGAAATTCATTAAGAACCTCCCCCTCAACTCTTTGTTTTTCTATTATTTTCAGTCCAACCAAACACAGTCTAAAGGCCAGCAAATAGTAGGTACCCACAGAAAATTTTCTCTCACAGAATTGGTGGTATATCTTGAGTTCAGATTTATGTCCCACAACGTCCCACAGCATATCCCCTCCGTGTATTGAGAACATCTCCCGATGATGATATCATCATTTCTGTCATATCATCAGAAGATGTCCCCGATACATGACTGGAATGTACTGTAGGGGCATTGTGGGGTGGAGATGTGAACACGTATATCTTACTCAGTTTACGGCACACAGCCTTAAGGGGAATGTGGGATGTACATGACTGATAAACATTTTTGGCTTCATAATCCAACCAACCTCTAACAAAAAAAAAATTAAAACAGAGATATTAGAGAACTAACTCATAGATACGGATTTTTTAAGTACAAAATTCTTGAGACAAATTTGAGCAAAGGGTTTACAGAATATATCTAGTAAAGTATTTAACCACAAGAGAGGGAAGGTCTCTTCATACCTTGGTGAAAATAGAGAAGAGAGAACAATTTACCCCT